CCTGTTACACACACACTGCTACCCTGTCACACATGCTGCTGCTACCCTGTCACGCACACACTGCTACCCTGTCACACATGCTGCTGCCATCCTGTTACACACACACACACTGCTGCCATCCTCTTACACACAGTCACCCCGTTGCACACCCCCTGTCACACCCAGTGCCACCTACCTCAGCCTCCCCCGCTCTGCCTGCCAGGCCAGGCGCTCCCGCAGCAGCGCCCGCAGCTCGGGCAGGGTCGGTGCCTCCCGCAGCACCAGCCTGGCCTCGCAGCAAACCCGCAGCACCACGGGGCTGCCCGCGCCTGGGGGCACCTGCTGAGAGATGTGACACTGTGGGCAGGCTGGGTGCTCAGGACTCGGATCAAGAGAGGTGACCCAGGCGGGTCCCGCGGCAGCAGCACAGCATCCAGTGCAGAGCTCAGAAGGGAATGACACACTCAAAGCCTGGGATCCAAGGCTCCTCCCACGACCTAAGAAGCCTGTTTCTGGGTCTGATCACACAGGTACCTCCCAGACCCAAACCTCTATGAGCAGGACCCCAGCTCCTCCAGCCAGCTGGAGAGATATGGCCAAGTTCTCATGTTCTGCTGCCTTCTGTCTGAGGCACAACTGACCAAAAAATACTCCACAAGTCCTACAGTGTGGGGTGGGAAATACAAATGAGCAGAGCTGAACTGCAGCTGGCACTGCCAGAGGTGCTGTCCTCAGGTGGACACAAGACCAATTCCAGCTCCATCACACCCAGAAGCTGGTAGTGACATGGAACTGCATCAGAAGACATCATCCCACAATACAAATCTGAGTGAATTGTGGTACCCAGCCTGACAGGAATGTAAAATGCCACACAGAAGGAGGGGAGAAGGGACAATAGGTAGATTAAAGACAGCTTGTTCTTGCAAAATAGGCTGCAAAGTATAGGCCTGAGAATGATGCTGTGTCTGGGGCTCCTGGCTCCTTGAGGGTGACTAAAAGGACAATACCTGAAAGGGGGCTCTAAGAAGGCTGGGGAAGAGTTGTTCACAAGGGCAGGTAACAACAGGACAAGGGGTGATGGTTTCAAGCTAGAGAAGGGTAGAGTTAGATTGGAATTTAGGAAAAAGTTCTTTGATATGAGGGTGGTGGATCACTGGAAAAGGTTGCCTGGAGAGGTGGTGGAGTCCCCATCCCTGGAGACATTCAAGGTCAGGTTTGATGGGGCTCTGAGCAACCCGTGTGAGATGTCCCTGCTTATTCTAAGGTCGTTGGACTAGATGACCTTTATAGGTCCCTTCCAACACAAGACATTCCATGATTCTGGTAAGCCTCAACCTTGGGCTGCCCCACAAAGCTGTATGATCACAGACTTGGGAGTGGTGGAGAGAGACCACATGGGACACTCTCTTCAAAATGAGAAAATGGGCAAAGGAAGATTTTTTTTCCAGTGATTTTAGGGCAGCTCAGGAATTTGAAGAATCTGGTCAGGAATCTTGCACTTTTCACTGCCTTGATCTCTTGAGCAGCTTCAGCTTGTGAAACACCTTACCTTGAAGTCTGTTTGGGCACCAGCATCATTTGCAGAGGCATTTTTTCCCTCAGGAGATTCTGCAGAACAAAAGAAGAGCAGAGGAACAGTGCCTGGAGGCAGCAGTTCTGCAACCCACCAGCACAAGGCAGCTGTGGCTGCAGGGAGCAACCAGCCCCCCAGGTCTCCCTAAAGCAGGGGGGTGGACACAGCTTCATGTAACACCCAGTGTGGGCCCTGACCAGGGGACTACCTGGTATCTGCTTCACATGGAGTCGGCTGGGAGGCACCTGGGCAGGAGGGAGGGGAATCCCATCACTGATCTTCTGCAACAGAACAAAATCAGAAAGGAGTGAGCAGAAGACACCAGAGACTGGGCAGGGCTGGTGTGCATGACAGAGGCTGCAGCCAGTTATAAATTTCTAGGTGTAACTCCAGAGAGAGCCCCAGGGAGACCAGTTCATTAACTGGGTGAAATGGAGCACTCAGACTCTCAGTGGTCTCTGCAGCTCCCATGGGTAGCAGAGGTGATGAGGAGTTTGGTTGGAGAGTTCCTTGGCCTCTGACCCCTTGCTGGGCTAGTTCTGGAGCAGAGGGAGTTTGCTCACACTGTGCTGAAAGTTTCCTCCACCATCTGCCAGTTCACCTGGGAACTTGGATGGGTTCAAAGTGGAGGAAGTGCCCAAGTGTGTGCTATGGCCAGGGATTCATTTAGAGGGAAAAAAAATAATCATAGCAACATCAGAACAACTCTGTACTTCAAAAACCTCTTTCAGGAAATAGGGATCTGAGTTGCACCTTTCTGCCCTGGGTTCAGATGGAAAATGACTGGGACCATGTGTGGATATGCATGTGGTGGAGATGGGAGATGAAGGAAGTTTTCCCAAGTCAAAGGTGAGGGTTTAGGCACGTGGCCTCAAGGCAAACGTGGTGCCTGTTTAAGATGTTACTGTCCCACTGCAGGTGATTAACTTGTTCTCCCTCTGCTGCTGAACTGAAACAGGTGAGCACTCCTCACCTGCTCCTGTGTCACATCTGGTGGCAGACATTGTGGGAGCAGAACGGATGAACATGTGCCTCATGCCCTCAAACCCCTCACGGCCTCAACAAGTTACAGTGGGTCAGGAGCGCTGTGGCAGATGCCCATGTTGGTGTGATCCACCAGCCCATGGCAGGTAAGAAATAACAGAACCTAGAGCAGCTTGTGGTGCAAGCCACTGTGGCTTGGCTGCAAGTCCAAGCCCCCAGGTTTTGCTGTTAAGAGACCTCCTGTCTATACAAAAATAACCATATTTTCTGCTCTTAAATCCCCTGTTGCTCTTGTTCAGGATCACTTGGTATTCAGACAAGGTGCCCCAGTGTTTCACACTCTATGTTTCTCTTACATTTCTCAGTTGGCCTATGCTGTGATAATCTGATGAATAAATGTCTCAAGTGCATCTCTTGCTCCCTTCCTCACCCCTGGTTGCAAGGTTGTCAGCTCACCCATTTATCCATCTTTGAGGCAGGCTCCAGGAGAGAGCAGGGTATTCGCAGCTTCTGCAGGACACAAAGCACAGCAGGGTGAGACCTGAGTTGCTGCTGTGGCAGCCCCAGCCCCACCTCCTGTCAGCTCCACCTCCTGCCAGCCCCATCTCCTGCCAGCCCCACTGCACTGCTGGAGCCCCTGCAAACCCCTACTGACACATGAAGGTGCCCATAGTTATGTTTCCCCCCACACCCCCACTGCCTACTTTTTTCTTTCTTACTTGGAATTTCACCTGACACTTCACTGAGCAGTCAAGCAGCACATTCAAATACTTCTGGAACTGTTCACTTTTAGCTCCAGATGCTTCAGGTTATGCTGAATGGTTTGACTGTCTGTCACAGAACATGATCACCTTAAGAAGCACTGTATCCCCTTCCAGTACCTGAAGGGGCCTACAAGAGAAGTGGGGCAGGACTTTTTGCACAGGCATGTAGCAACAGGGCAAGGGGCAATGGTTTAAAACCTGCAGAGGGGAGATTTAGATTAGCTATTAGGAGGAAATTCTTTACTATGAGGGTGGTGAGACCTTGGCCCAGGTTTCCCAGGGAAGCTGTGGCTGCTCCATCCCTGGCAGTGTTGAAGGGCAGGTTGGATGGGGCTTGGAGCAGCCTGGGCTGGTGGGAGGTGTCCCTGCCCATGCAGGGGGTTGGATCTAGATGGTCTTTAAGGTCCCTTCCAACCCAAACTATTGTATGATCACTATCCCTATTGCTGTATCACTGAGGAATATGCTGACTGCTTAGGTTACAGATTATCTCTGGGGACACCCTTTCTTAAAAAAAAAAAAAAAAAAAAGCGCTTTTAATTTCTACACACCCTTTATTTCTGTATTTTAAACTGTTAGCAGCCCCCAGAGCACTGCCTCTCCTGCTCAAAGACCCCACTGGTTCTTTTAGTGGTCTTTTGACAAATCTGACTGTTTTCTGAAATATGGGCAGATAAAATATTCACTGACTCAACTTCATCCAGGTGTGCACTGGCTCTTTTCAAAGGACTCGAGTAGACATGTGAGAAGTGATTTCCACCACCAAAAGGTTTTCAGTGTTGTCTTATTTACCTGTTTCTACTCAACCTGTTTATACCACGGATCCCTGGTCTGCAGAAAGATGTCAGATTTGCAGGGGTTTAATTCCTTACATCTTCTCTACAGCCCTTCATAAAACCTTCCTGCTCAGCTGAAGCCCTCCCAAAACCTTTCTAAAGTTAATTGAACAGAGACACTACACACCAGGTAAGGTGTCTCCTCAGCTCCTTAGAGCCCTGTGACAAATACTGCTCCAAATGGGGTCCTTGCCCAGGTCTGTTATCCTACATCCTACTGTAAGATCCTGTATGGTGGAGAGCACAAGTGCTCCAAAATGTGCCCTTGTGGAGCTACAGAGGTGAATGGAAGAAGCTTGTGGGAGAAAAGAGGAAAACCTTTTTCACTGTGAGGGTAACAGAGCCCTGGGACAGGCTGCCTGGAGAGTTTGTGGAGTCTTCTTCTCTGGAGACATTCCAAACCTGCCTGGTCGTGTTCCCATGTGATGTACTCTAGGGGATCTTGCTCTGGCAGGGGGGTTGGACTAGATGATCTCTAGAGGTCCCTTCCAACCCCAACCATTCTGTGATTCTGTGAAGTCTCAGAGACATCTATAGTTAGCAACTCATCTGTGGAAATGGGCTTCTGAACTCATCCTCTGCTCTGCAGTGCTACAAATGGGTCCCCAAGGAACATGCTCAGAGGGTTGCAGCAAGCTCCTGTTCACAAGCAAGGCTGTGGTCTCTGCTGGTGGAGGTGAGCTGGAAAGCCCACCTGTTTTCCTTACCTGTCCATCATATATGGCTGTAGCCCAACCGTCTGCTCCTCGCGCCAGCACAAAGACCAAGCTCTTGGCTTTCACTGCCAAATTCTCCAAGTCCTCAGGGCAATAGTGGGACACAACTCGACAGTAGCCTGACTCACTGTCTCTGGAAAGAAAGAATGAGAAGAAAAAGACCTTCAATAATCTGGAGTTCTGGTGCTGGATGGTTTTCAGCCAGAACACTGCATTGACCCAAACTGGCACGTGCCAAAAGTTTCAGGTGTTGGGAAATTATGATTTCCATGGCTACTCTTTGGTACAACTGGGAAAAAAAGGAGCTTGGAAAACAGATCTCCCAAGTGCAACTGCCCATTTTGGTTATACTAAAAAACATCCTCCACACCAAAAAAATATTAAACTCAACCCTGAGGTAACAGTATCACCAAACTAAATGCCTTTTGTGGTTTTTGAGCCAGGACTGATTTTGGATCAACACAGCATGGCTGAGAGGCCTCGTCCTGGGAACTAGGATGGAACAGCTGAGCATCCTCTGCCATAGGTCTGGGCAGATCCCACAACCTCTCTCTGCTTCCATTTTCTGGCCATGGCATGATCCATGCCATGTTTCCTGATTACTGAATCATTTCCTGCAAACTGCCCTGAGATTCTTGCAGGAGAGACACCCCTGAACTGCAGTGTGACCTGCAGCCACACAAGCCTCTGCTTGTTTGTCATTCACTCCACCCTTGGTGGAAAGTGGGTGTGGATCCCACTCAGTCTTTGGACAAAGACATCAGAGAACAAAACAGGACCTTCTGAACAGAGAAAGAGAGCAGAGTTGGACATGAGTAGAAGTAAACACTTACTGCAGAGCATCAGCGCTGGGTTCATAAAAGCCCTGTTTCTGTGGGAGGAACAACAGCAGCTATTTATAACAGTACCTCATATAGCAACAGTGCCACCTTATTTGCTGTCCCTCTGAAGCCCACACTCTGCTGTGTCTTTGCTTTTGAGGGCATTTGTCACACCACAGCATCCTGAGAGAGGTTTGCTGCTCACCTTTCCAGGATGTACCTTCTATTTCTCCCCCTCCTGCTCTGTCCCCTCAGAAGGTGAGTAGAAAAATCTTCTCCCCTACCCCTGGTGCTAAGAAACTCCTACCACAGGGCCAGCCAGCCATGCTTATGCTGACATATTTTACTAAAGTGCTGGACAAATGCATGCTGAGCATGGCCAAGTCTCCACTGCTGTTTTGATATGCTGAAGAAAAAAAAATGCATCTTCAAAGGGCCGGAGACTCATGTTGCTGAGTCCGTCCCAGGCTCTGCTGAAGCCCACCACGTGGCTTTGAAAGGCCCTGTAGATCTTGTCTGATGTTGCACTGTTTTTTTTCAGTGATACCTTCTTACCCTGCTGGTGTTAGGATTTGAGGCCTTACCTGGAGCTCCATGACTGCTCCATTCCTCCCTTCCCAGCTATGTTCTGCTCACCTGAGGCCTGAGAGGCTCGAAGCCAAAGTATTCATCATTGGGAATGATGGACGAGATCACCTGCCAGTGGACAAAGTGACAGAATCCAGGCTGGATGAAAAGACTCTCACACTTCATGCAAGGTTCTCCCCATTTCCTTCTGACATCCTAAGTAGAGCCATGCACATAGTGGAAAAAGCAGACTTGGATTCCCAAACCAGCTGCAGCTGTTTGTTTTCCTGTTTTTTTTAGTCCAAAGCTTTTTTTAAAGCACATAAATTAATTACTTTCCCTTCCCCTTGTTATGTCACAATTTCCTGGCTTGTGGCACTTCTGCTGACTGCAGTGGTCACAGATGGGATCAGAAAAATGCTCTGTTCACTTGTGTTACAGGGTGTGACAAAGCATCTGTCTCTCAAATGCCTGCCTGTCCCAGAGGGAATGCAGGAGTGAGTAGGAGAATGCTGATGGAGGACAGTGCTCCTCTTGAAAATGTCATTGGTAGCAACAGGACAACCACAGGGCTCCCAAAGTACTTGCTCAGATTTTTCAGAGTTTAAAGTGACCAAGACTAGGAAGTTTTTTTAGCACCAAAGTGCAATTTTTACAGAAGAGGAGGCAATTCTAACAAATGTTGGCTTCTGTGTCCCTGATGCTGTGACTGGCTGCAAGTAGGACCTGCTCTTGGGTCTCCACCAGTGGAGTGGGCAATGGTAATGCTCTCTGGAGATGTCACAAGGTGGGGTTGAACTCTGCCTGCTGTTAATGATCACGTGTCTGTTACCTTGGGTTTACCCAGGAAATCTTTTGAGTCCAGCTGTTCAACTTCCTTCTTTCGTGGTCTGAAAAATTCCCCAAGAGGAACCTGCATAGGCTCTAAGAACAGGCGGTTCTGGGGCAGAGAAAAGAGATCAGGGTAAAGCCATCAGTTAATATTAAATCAAATATAACAGCAGTGACTGCAAGTACAGCTTCCCTGTGTGTGTGAGATGAGCTCCAGGAAGACATTGAGGCAAAAAATATGGCTGTTAACTTGAAAAAGTTTGACACACACATGCAAACTAAGAGCTCAAGAATCCACACCCCAGTGTTAAGTCACTACCCTGTTAGCATGGGGTGGGTGGAAGGGGTGGAATAAAGTAAATTAAACAAACCTCTAAGCACTTTTCCTATTTTACTTCAATTGTTGCTTCCTTTCTCCCTTGTTCAACCACTGAGCAGCATGCTTGTACTGAATATAAATGATACACTAAAAGAGATGACCTTATCTTAAAAAGGATACAAATAAGACATAGAAGCATAGAGGTGGCAAAATAATGAACCCTCCAGGAAGAGTGATCAGAGACCTGCAGTTTGTTCCTGATCATAAAAAAGTGTCTAACAGGAAACTACCACTTAGAACCAACTCTGGCAACACTTTTCCACACTACTTAGGCTTTAAATGTGATTGTCATTCATATCTGAGTGGCCACCAATTGTCACTGAGGTCAAAGGGATTTTAAAAAGTTAGCCAGTGTCATGAAAATTGAGACTCTCCCAAATCTGCACTTAAACACTGCATAAGGCAACTTGTTTTACAGCACAAGTACAACTGAGCTGCTGGACATCAGGGACCAGAAAGAAACTTCCCCATCCTAGGAGGTTATCCCGTAATTTTCCACTATGGTGTTTCTGTGCTATGAAGCATTTGGGGGAGGTTGGAATTACTTGATTAGCTGAAGCACTAGTTTGGTAGAGCATCACATGCAAATGGCTTAGACTGTTACCAGGTGACCAAGTAGGTGGGGAGACAGGAAAACCCAAACACACAACAATTAACATATTCTTATCTTGTACTTCATAGAATCATAGACTGGTTTGGGTGGGAAGGGACCTCAAATATCACCCAGTTCCAACATTTGCCATGGGCAGGGACACCTCCTACCAGACCAGGTTGCTCCAAGCCCCATCCAACCTGGTCCTGAATACTTCCAGGAATGGGGCTTCCACAGCTTCCCTGAGCAACCTGTTCCAGGTCCTCACCACCCTCACACTAGAGAACTTCCTCCTAATGTCTAATCTAAATTTCACCTCTTCCAGTTTTAATCCATCACCCCTTGTCCTCTCCCTCCCTGCCCTTGTCCTAGGTCCCTCCTCAGCTTTCCTGGAGCCCCTTCAGGCACTGGAAGCTGCTCTAAGGTCTCCCTGGAGCCTTCTCTTCTCCAGGCTGAACACCCCAACTCTCCCAGCCTGGCTCCAGAGCAGAGCTGCTCCAGCCCTCGGATGATCTCTGTGGCCTCCTCTGGACTTGCTCAGTATTTTTTTAATTGAGCCCAATACACATACCCAGGAACTCACAGAGGTGGTCTTACCTTGACGCGCTCCAGGGCCATGTCCAGGATGGCTGTTCTTCCCTCAGGTCTCCACACAACAGCCTTGTCCAGGGTGGCTCTGGCCTCCTGCCACTGCTGCAGGCGGCACTGCGCTGCTGCCAGGCTGTACAGCACCTGCAGCCAGGGAGCAGAGCACAGAGGCTGAGCACCAGCACAGCTTCTTGAGCTCAGCCAAGAAACAAGGACCAGGTCCTGGAGCACCACAGACACAGCAGCAGCTCCAACCCACTCCCCACCAGCCACAGGAAAGGCACTTGAGCAGCACAGCCAAAAAAATCTCCAACATCAGAGTGGAAAAAGCTAAAAGCTGCAGGTGAGCCTGCTGGATGTGCTGGGGCTGCCAGCTCTGCTCCAGGCAAGGAGAGGCAGGGAAACTCCAGATGAAGACTTCAGTACCGCACAAATTTTAATCTCATCCTCTCTGCATCTAAAAGGCCATTAAGGATCTTCCTGGCAAGCTGCATGGGCTCCTTTCTGCATGCAACCAGGTGTTACTTTTTGCTGCGCTGTTTTACTTTTCCTTCTGACTCCCTTTCACTGCAAAAGAACCTAAGAAAGTATTTAACATTGTTGGGGGCTGTGAATGTGCCAGCTGTAGCTTGTTACCCTTTAGCAGCATCTAAGTATGTTAGTGGTGAAGCAGCAAAGTATGGGAGGGTTAGAGAAGGGTGCTGGGAATCCTTCATCTGTGTGCTGAGCTAAGACTGGGAAAGTT